AGTACTTCACAGAATCAGCCTGGAGGAGTGAGGAGGAGAACAAAGTGAGAATACRCAGTCCTGGCAGTGCTCTGGCTGTGCATTCAAACCTTTCGCCGTCAAACCACCCTGTAGGAGCATGAAAGGATTTTTTCAGTCACTAGCGCATTTAATCCAGGGCTCCCTTTCACCAGAGGCAGTCTGAAGGGGAGACCTTGTCATATGAATTTAAAGAGCTGCTTTGTCTTGAGATTGCACATTATAAATAAATAAATAAATAAATAAATAAATAAATAGAAGTGTACTTCTCATGGGAGAACTGAATATGAGCACCCACTCCACATTGCTTGCAGTTATTATAGAGGTATACACTGCTTTTTAAATCTCATCATCTTAGTTTCACTGTTTGTGTAAGTGGATGAAGCTGCAGACCCTATAGTTTTCCAAATCATTTCCAAATAAATTTTTTTTTGGTGTTGCAGAACATAAAAATAGATGATTTTTTAAAAATAATTTCAATACTGCAGTGACAGCAAAGCAGAATGAGATTAACTGATTGTCTTTGCAAAGACTCTGGACTTTTGTGTTTATAAATCTGCTAGGAGAGGGAGGCCTGGAAGTGTGACTTATTTCTGAACTGTTCAGTCTAGGTAGTGAATTATTCACAGCAGGAATGATGTTCCAGAGTCACCAGGCAAGAGATCTTTGGTGACCCCAGGCTTAGGAGTTGTTACTGCTTTTTGACTTAAGTGGCTTGCTAAAAGGTTTGGGTCTCAAATACCCATTCCATCTAGAATGAAAAATTACTAATGGAGACAGAATTATCCTCACCTCACTTCTAGCCTGTTTGAGAGTGATGCCTCTCAGTTACTACAACTTTATCCTCAAGCCAGCCTTTTCCAAAAGTCTGGTTATGGTGGCAGGAGCAGCTGAAGGAGGATGTCCTTGCCCCAGCTCCTCATTTCTGCTCCATGCCTCAACACTGTGGTTTTTACCCCGATCTGCTGGCAGCCCTACACGCAGGAACAGTTCCTGTGGTGCAGAAGAAGGATCTCCACTAGTGCTGCCAAAACCAGGCTGCTTTCAAATCACAGCCTGCCTCTGTTCTCACACTCAGTCTTKGCTCTTCCATGAGAACCATCTCCTGCGGGGATGCCTATTCCAGAGACACTCTCCAACATCTCTCACCTCGGTTTGCAACCCAAGCCAAACATGGGGATTTGGCCTAAGCTTTTTTCTCCAGTTCAGACAATTTTGATGTTTTCATCATTTGGATACTTGAGAGTCAATTTTTGGCCAGAGTCGCAGGGCCTGGGTCATTTCAATAACCCAATGAACAGCCTGTGTGCATGCATTTTAAATGCAAGAAACTGATTACCAGCCTGTGAAAGTAAAGCACAAAACTGGAAAAATCTGAGGCAGAAATCAAAATAATAATTGGCAAAAAAAAAAAAAAAAAAAAGAACCCATACATTCCAATAGTATTTTTTGACTGTAGCGAGAGAATGAAGTTGCAGCAATGCAAGGTGATAAGATGCATGCTCTGCTGGCATCTTTATTCTCTAAGGTGCAATTTCCATTAATTATTTTTGTCCTAACAGTTAATATGGAAAATAGTAATCTTATGTGTCACACAGAAAGCAATGTGTCTTTTAACAAAAGGCTTTCTTTAAGAAAAAACAAATGTTTCCTATTTTCTGATGAAGAGCAGATGCTGCTGCAGTGTCTCTGCCCATGCTGCATATAGGTGAAAAAAAAATGGTCAAATGCAAATGATCACCTTATATTTACTTTTAAAAGGGCATGATAAATACAATTTGAGGAGCAACAATAGAAGGTGCTAACAGTAAGAGATATTTCCTTTGGCAAGATGTTTATGTGCCTTGTGGTTATCCATCCTTGCGAGCATCCATTTTCCATCCTGTGGTGCAGATAATCTTGCGAGAACTGCCTTGTTCCTTGGAACACCACTGTTTTACTGCAAACGTATATTTTCTGTGGGAGAGCATTTTACCGCAGAGCTTTTATGGAGCTGGTCAGTAACAGAGTTTTTACTAAGCCAGCCTTCACATACAGCAGTTTTGCCCAGTTTTAATGGCTGGCCTGGACCACACCACTCTGACAGAGAAGCCTAAGAGTGTACCCTGGTAGGCAGCAGGATGTAAGCGGCTGCTTGAGCTGAGAACAAGATTAAATTCCAGTGAGTTATCAACAAGCCCAGAGGCATGGCCCTGGCAGAAGTGGTCTGTGATAGATTTTAAAGCTCTATCTCAGTTTATCTCACACCCTGAAAAGGGTATCTTGTACTTCATGCACTTATTGGATTAAGATTCCGTTTTATACAACAATGCTGCACTCAGTGGGGGAGAAGTAACACATCCTGCACATGCTTGTGTACCTGGGAGGCATTAGGCATGTGACTACTTCTACATTTTGCGCTGCTCAAAATCAGGATCTGGCATCCGTTTGTCAGCATCAAGCACTTTAGATGCAAAATTTTTGGCACAGGATCATTTTCCAGCAGCAGGCAGTGACAGGCACATAGGATTTATGTGATTTGAATATTTTTATTCATTTGGAAGGGTGGCACCAGTGTTGAAAAACAGAGCCAAATATTTAATACTCGAGCAGACCTAAGCCTATAAGATGGTGGATGCCAGCCAAAGTTGAGGACTCCTGACCAAAATCTTGCAGAATCAGACCATAGCACGGGCTTATCCAAGCTTCTGAGAGCCCTCGAGGTCTGCTGGGTTGCACATGGTTTCTTGGGCAGGCTCGAAACAGCAAAAAAACGTTCTGTTGCAAAGGAGGAACACAGCAGCAGGAGTGGACAACACTCAGAAGTCAAGTGCTTTCACCGCTTCGACGGTTGTGTTGGCAACACAAGGCCAACATGCTTTAAAAAAAAGTGTTAGCCTTGTAGTTTTCTTCCCAGACRTTTCACTTCCCTAGGACATGGGGCTACTTTGGGTTACCGCAGCGTCTGTCGGAGAAGAATGCATTTTATCTTCTTGTTTTGTTTTTACAGGAAAAGACCGGGGAAGGCATCATCCATTGGAACAAGAGGAGAGATTACAAAGGCCTGTCCCGAGCAGAAAAGAACTATGCTGAGATCTTCCTGCCCCACAAGGGTTCACAGCAGCCTCTTCCCTGCGAAACCGCATTGAGTATCCAGAGCAGCACACAGCCGGCTCACAGGAGAGGTCTAGCCTGCTGGTGCTGGGAAAGCCCTTTTGCGGTGAGCCAAGGTGAAGCGGGTGGGCCTTTACCACACGCTTTTCTCCCTGATGGGGTATATTACCCTGCGTGTGCCTCTACCCTGTCTGTTTAGTTTATATCTATACGGAAGCTGCAGGCCCAACCCTGTTTTCAATGAGGTCCGATTGGCAGGAATTGGTGCTGCACGCCTCAAGTTCCGTGTTTTCAGCATCATTGATGCTGTTTTTAAAATTTTAGATATCTCTAATGAAACACCTGTCAGTGTTGCAGAGTGGGACTACATTAACCACATGCGTGCATTTCTGCCTGTATTAATGTGGCTYGGTGGTTTGTTTTCTTACCATATGAATGCACTTCAAAGTGAACTAAAAAGCCATCAAACCATCAATGGGGGCGAAACACCCGCTGTTGATTTGGAGCTGGTTTATCACCGTGCTGCAGGGCACCAGAATGGCTTGGCCGTTTATCAGCAATCTCGTGTACACCGAGAAGAGCATGAGCGAGTTATGCCGGGCACTTCCAAAAGCTGTTAGCATCTTTCACCYCCGTTTCATCCAGCCTGTGCTTACATGTACTGGCCCAAGCGGCTGCAGGTGGGGCCTTTTCCCGCTTCCTGTGCTGGCCGTACCATCAGAGCCCCTCTGTGTCTCACATCAGAGGCCTCTGCTGCCTCACTCGAGTAGTTTAACAGGAGCTGAATTGTTACTGTGTGAATTCCTGGCTCCAGGAGCCACACACGTCCCGCCAGCAAACCAGGTTTTGTCCGATAATGTGGAGTGTGAGTAGAGCAACCTCTACCCCCTCCAAAATACTGCAAGGGTCTTTTGTGTCCTGTGTCACTGTGTGAGCCAGGAGCATCACCCACCTWTCCCCTCAGCACACCCGAGCCCTGGTGAAGCCAGAGGCCACAGGCTGCAAGCAGACACCAGTCCTGGGGTGCATCCTGCATCTCCGTGCTACCTTTTCCTTTCGTGTTCAATAATTACTAAAAAACGCCACTTGTGGAGTTTTCCAGACATCCGGAGTCTCCTCCACGCTTCCTTGCTGTAAAACGCCTCTGCCGGGCAGTGGCAGCCTTGGACGGCCGGCATGGGGTCTGTGGGAAGGAGGGCGAGCGCGGGCCGCCCTCGCGGACGGGGCCCACAGGCCGAGCACCCCGCAGCCGCCAGCGCCTCGGCCCTTCCAGAGGCCCTTGGCATGGCGGAGGGGATGAGCTCCCGGCTGTGGCGGAGGGCCGAGCTCCCGGGCGCAGCACAGCCCTGCCCCGAGGCTCCGCTCCGGCCACACGCCGCCCCCTCCAAAGCCCCTCAGCACCCCGGGGGTCTCCCTGCAGGTGCTGCGTGGCACAGGGCTGCGTGGGGGGCTGGCAGCCCTGCGTCAAGCAGCTGGGGGTGGCCCGTGGACGCAACGGGCGCTGCTTTTTTCCCCTCCCTCCCTCCTTCCTTCCCTCCCTTCCTTCCTCAGCTGGCCGAGCTGGAAGTTTTAAAAAAAAAAAAAAAAAGCAAAAGAAAAAAGAAACAGGCAAAGAAGCAACTTCTACGGTCACTGTGGGCGGGGGAGGAAAGTCATCGTCGCCGTGTGCGTGGCAGTGGCGAAACCGTCCCGAGGAGGAGGAGGAGGAGGAGAACCGTCCTCCCCGGCGGGGGCGGCCGTGGGGCGGCTCGTCCCGGCGGGCAGGGGCCGGGCCGGGCGGTGGCACCCCCGTCCCGCCTTCCTCCTCCTCCTCCTCCTCCTGCTGCTGCCGCTGCTGCGCTGGGCGCGGGGCGCTCGCGTCGCCCTCCGGCGGCGTCGGCGGCGCCGGGATGGCCTCGGCCGTGTTCGAGGGCACCTCGCTCGTGAACATGTTCGTGCGCGGCTGCTGGGTGAACGGCGTCCGCCGCCTCATCATCAGCCGCCGCGGCGACGAGGAGGAGTTCTACGAGATCCGCACCGAGTGGTCGGACCGCAACGTGCTCTACCTGCACCGCAGCTACTCCGACCTGGGCCGCCTCTTCAAGCGCCTCCTCGACTCCTTCCCCGAGGACCGCCCCGAGCTCTCCCGCTCCCCCTTGCTCCAAGGTTTGAGCAGCTCCCGGCAGCCGGGAGCTTGTTGCTTGTTCGGTTTATTCATTTATTTGTTTGCCTGCGGGTTTTTGCGCGCGGGCKTCGGGGCCGCTGCCCGAGGGCGGCCCGCGGGCAGCCCCGCAGCCCCTGGGACGGCGCCGGGCGCGGGGGCAGGAAACTGCGGCGGCCTCGGGGCTCGGCAGCTCCTCCCGGCGCCTCCCGACTTATTTATTTATTGCTATTTTTAGTGACTGCGGAGCGGACGGGATGGGCTGCCCCGCAGTGCGTGTGTGGGCGCTCCCGTAGGGAGGTGAAGTCTCGGTTCCGAAGTGCCCAGACCCCCCCCGTTCGCTGTCCCTCGGGTGTCCCCGGCTGCGCTGGGGGTGTTGACTCGCAGGCTGCGTTTGGGGGCTCTAAAGGGTCCTTGCTGTCGCCTCCCCCCTCCTGCCACATCCCCAGGGATATGGGCAGGGGGGACTCGGTGGCGGGAGAAGGGCCACGGCTGAAGAATCTCTGCACGTTGGTATGTTGTTTGCCACAGGGAGGAGGAAAAAAATAAAAAAGCTGCAGCGCTTGCCAGTGGATGGAGCAACTAGGGAGCTAAAATAATTCCTCACATAACTTTCTTTCAAGCACAGAATTGCTGCAGCAGTTAAAGCCGTATTCCTCTTCTCTGACGTCCTCTGAAATGGATTAACCAAACTCAGGGGATGTCACCCATACTCGGGCCCAGCTGTGCAGAAGCAGTGTGTACCTGCTAATATTTCTAGGATGTTGCTTTTAATTTTTGTTTGGTGTTTTGGCTTTTTTTTTTTTTTTTTTTTTTTAAGTTCATTTTATGTGTTTTGTTCTAAAATATTTCAAGCCAATAAGGTGGTGTGGACCGTGAGCTATCTAAAAGGTGATGTGTGCTTATCATTTGCAGTCTCCCCACATGTCTGAGTAACCCCATAAATGGCTGGATTAAATAGGACCGGGGARAAGCCAGTTTGTGGTGTACATTTCTCTCAGAGAGAATGGACAAGTTCTTGGCTGATCTCAGTTTACCTTGAAGCTTCGTAAGCACACGGACTGTGTCTGAAATGCTAGGAGCTGATTTGCACCCTTTACACTGATGTAGATCCGCTGGATTTACTTCTGAGACCCACTTTTGTGGAAGCAGACTCCACAAAAGTCTTGCCTTGGGTGGAATGTGGCATCGAGAGGGTGTCTCCCGGGTTTCCTTGTCAAGTTTGGCTCTTGACAGGAATTTGAAGTGCGATATGTTGTGTGGGCTCTGTCACTCGCTAACCTCTATCGGGATCTCTCCTTTTGTCTACTTTAAACATGGTCATCCGTGTTCCTCTCCTTATCTTCTTTCTGCCGCGCTCACAGGAGCGAGTGTCCTTTGCCCCGCTGCTAATGGAAAATGCCTCCTCTGGCTTGCTCTGGCTCATCCTCATTCCTGGGATGTGGCATCTCCGCTCGGCCGCCGCGCTGCGAATCCCGCAGGCGCCGGCGAGGCCCGAGTGCCCTCTGCAGACTGCAGCACTGCAGTGCTGCAGGGGATGCGCCGCGGCCCCGCCGTGGGGCGGGCAGCCCGAGCACCTGTGGGTCCCAGGGGGGCTGTGAGCCCCACGAGGGCAGGTGGGAGCGGGAGGCTCCTCTGCAGAGCCCCTGCGCCCGCCCCCCGTCCCCACCAGTCCGTAGGGGCTGGTGCCAGCGACCGGGACCCCAGCGACTGGGTTGCTGAGCAAGGATGTAAAGTAGAGGGAGGGTTGATTGCGCCTGTGTGTGCCCAAAGGGAAGCACCCTGGTCTTGCGTCTCTGCAATGTCGCGTGGCAGTAAATGCAAAGCAGCAGTGACTTAGGGACTACGTGGCGCCAGGGCCTTTGCTTTATAGGGTGTCCGGTGGGTCCAGACCAGCAAGGCACAGCTGCCAGAATCACTGAATTTGGCTTCCCAGAGCACAGGTAATAGGCAGAGCGTGAAAATAGGAGCTCAAATATTGTCCTTCTGGGCTTTTTTGAGCTTGAGGTGGGTGCTGGGTCTGTCTGGGGACAGACTCTGCTCAGTATCTTGGTCCTTTTGGCCTGGCCCCTGCCTCTCCACGCTGGCTCCCTGGCCGCTGCTTCAGGCAGAGGGGGCCCTGGCTCCCCACAGCCCTTGGCATTCCCCGGAGTCGCTGGCCAGCACCTTCCTCCCCGGCCTTGGAGCCTGATGCGGCTTTGGCAAAATATTCCACTGCTTCCACGTACCTCTGAGGCTCCGTTTGCGCAGATGGAGCTGGATGGGATTGCACTCACTGGCACCAGAATACTGATAGCTCTGCTTGACAGACCCAGGTAACGTGCGCTATTTGTGCAGGAACAGCTGGAAACACGAAGCAGCCTCCTCGGCTCAATTCCTGCGTAAAACCTTGAGCCAATAACCTTCCCTTATCCTTATCTCCAGGAGTAGACGTACCGACTTCAGTGGAATCCGAAATGAGCAAAGCATCAGGCTGGGATTTGAGAAATGGGAAGCTAATGTAAGGAGATCATGATCTATTCAGCTTGGGTAGGGGTGGGGGTGAACCTTGCAGCAGAGATGGAATGAAAGACAGGGGTAGTTTCTAAGCAATCGCGGTGCAATTCACAGTTTCAGTAATGCTCTGTTTGAAATTAAGCTGCTCTAAAGAAAATTGCTTTGTAGGGATGGGACATGGATGTGCTTCTCTGCATAGAGAGCATTTCATCATTGCAGCATTTTAAGATGACTGGCTGCAGCCTCATAGCAGATACATAAAAATCTAGTTTAGCCAAGTGACCCCTAAGCAAATCTTTGGCTGTAAGTAGGGAATGCATGCAGCATGCCCTATCTTCAGGAAACTTTGGGGGCAAGTATGATTTCTTAATTATTTTTTTTACAGCAGAGGTCCTGCTGTCCCCACTGCAGCTCAGTGTATTTAGCCCAAGAAAAACATCTGACAGACTCACACTCTTGTGAGCATTAGCGTTCAGACATAAACATATATGTGTGTGAGGAGTGTTCATGAGGTTAGCTCAGGCTTTCCAAAAGTTACTGAATATTAGCTGTTCCTTTTATCTGGAGGAAGTGGTAAAACATTGCGAACCAAATTTGCATTGCATTCSTACAGATTTGCTTAAGTAGCACTGAAGGAAGTAGAATTTTCTTATGGCTTAGTCAAACTATAGTATGTAACATTCAAGGGATATGTTTGAGGAGGGAAAACTTGAGCTATTTGTTGTTATTAAGGTCTTAAGATGAACTATTTAATATKTCAGCAGTATTAGCAGTAGTTAATTGTTGGTTTCAGCAGATTGTGGCTTTCACACAACCTGCCCTTGTCTTGAATAGGCAGTGGCAGCCTATGGCAAAGGGCACTTTGTGTGTGTATCTGGAGCGTGCCGTGGTGCTGAGGGCCAAGGACATTCAGCAACACAAAGCGTCTTACTAGAAAGCTGGTAAACAAGGTTAGATATATGCATACCTGCAGGATGATTAAATATTAAATAACTGTGGTGTTACAGTAACTTGATGATACTTCATTTGTGCCCATCCCTTCAGAAATGTGCGCATCCCTTGGCCTAGGTAAATGTGTAAGACAGGATCACAGAAAAGCACAGGCTAGTTCACTATTAGCAGAGCCAGAACACCAGCTAATTCTTGCTAATCTGTCTGTTTTGCCTGCAGCTTCCAAATGAATGACTTGTGTAGTTAAATACCTCATCATGAGAAAGGCAGCGCCACGGACCCAGGAGCTGACTTAAATTCAGTGATTTAGAAATAGTTGCAGTAAACCCAGTAGATGCTAGAAATGAAATATAGTCCTGGTAAGGTTCRCATTTTTATTTCTGCTGTTATATACTGTTACTAAGTACTTCTAAGTATCTAAGTCTGTTAAAAGCTGTTTCTTTCTGGTTAAGATTTATCCTAGAACTGAGTCCAATCCATACAGCCAAATGYCTCCTCTTACTTCAGTGGCCAGCATCAGGCCCTTACATGCTGAACAAGGAAGCCAGAGGAGCTTGTTAGCAGCTCTTTAAAGTTTTGCCTTTTAAGAGCGGTAGGGTGTTTTCTGGCAATACTTGTCTGCTAGGATTTCACTATCTGATGCTGCTGTTATGTTTCCTTTTGGAAGCTGAGATGCTTTTCCACTGTTGTGCCTGCATGTAGTATGTAATCCTGCTCAGATACCCCAAGGTGTCAAATCAAAATGTTGCTTCAGTCTTACAGGGTTATTTTGCTAGATGAGACCACTTTTTCCAAATGTCTCTCTCCCTCCACTTTCCTTCTTTCTGTCCCTCCTCTTACTCACTCTGCTCTGTGTTTTGTTTTTCTCACTCTGCTCTTGGTGAGCATTTTTATCTCTGTTTCTTGTTCCAGTTGCTTTCCCCGAATTGCTTGCTGTTCCTCTTCTTTGCCTTCAAGTTTCTCTCCAAGCCTGTTGGCATCCCTCATTATCTATGGCTCATGAGAACTTTTCTGTTGTCTTCTGCTGTTTTGGTTCTCAACCTCTTTCAGCCCATACAAGTTATCCAGTGGCAGTGGATTTTTTTTTTGCAGAAATTTGTATCACGACATAGAGGAATCCCCTCTTCACCTGCTGCAGATCCTCGGCAGTCCTACACAGAGGAGTGATGAACTTTGGCTCTGTGGGTTGTGTCTGCCCTCTAGCTTGGTTGCCTTGTGTGGGAAGCAGAAGATGAGCTATTTTGTGTGCATCAACCTAGAAGCACATGGGCAGCTTGTCCTGGGCTGCAGCTTGAAGGACTTGCATGAAGCAGAAGGTAGTTGATGAAAAGATTCAACCCAAGATCACTGTGGGTTTTTTTCTGTTGTTTCTTTCTTTTTTTTTTTTTTTTCTGCATAGTTTACTGTAAATGTTGTATTCATAACATTATATATTCTGCATTATACAGTTGTTGTTTACAAGTCCATCTGCGAGTTGGATTTATGAGAAGAGGGAACTCCACAGAAGCAACGTAGTGGTTTCCACAGACAGCAGCTGTTCCAAGGCTGTGACAATAGG